ACTTGTAAAGTTGAAACAGCTGACTAAATTCTTTAATTCCCTTTAAATATGAATACTCATAAGGTTAACATGGGGAACTATAGAGCCACTGGGGCGGAGCCCGAAAGGATTTTTGAGATAAGAATATGCCTTAATGTTAATCGGGAATTTGAGCTATCATCATACCAGATTTCAGCCCAATCCGTCCAGTAGTTTATGCGTGATTGAGCAACACACACACACAAACTCACAAACTTTCAGATTTATAATATTAGTAAGATAACCTTTAAAGATATTGCAAACATTTTACTAAATTGGTCAAACGAAAACTAAGGTAAGAAAGAGAAACTAAGCTTATGGCTAAGAGCCATTATCATAAGTGATCTTGTTTATTAAATCTCCTGAATTAGAATATTTTCGAATTAATTTTTACTTCAAAGGGCGCAAATAAAAAAAAAAAACATCAACATTACTGTCAGTTGATAAGTAGGGTGGTTAAAATATAATAATTGAAACATTTTAACAACTTTTACAAGTTTAAGACGATTGTTAACATTTTCAAGTTGAAATCCCGGTTTCTAGGGATATTCAATGATTGCATACTTGCAATTTAAATAAGATTGCAAACTGTGTAAAATAGCTTTCATTTAGACTATTGACATTTTGCTTGGAGACCAATTCGAACGCATTCAAGGCAAAGCGCCAAAGCGGTACAATTTATTTTTCTCACAGTTACCTTAAGCACGGGTCACACTAGGCTGCTCGCCATCAGCTGGTGATCAGCAGCTGGCACATATGCTCAGCAGCATATGCTTTATAGTAACTGTAGGTACAATATAATGTGGAACGCGAGTGCAAAGTGCCTTTGCTGCACTCAAGAAACTTTCTGCACTAACTTGCGGCTCGTGCGTAAACATGTCTCTCGTGTGCAGCAAAATACCACTTCCCACACTAACACATGTAACAACTATTATTTATAGTCGGGGATTGAACCCAACTTTCTCCAAGACTCTAACCAGCAATACTGCTAGATGCAATATTGTTTCGCTACACTAGTGTGAAATGACCTTTTTCGTACATGTTTATCACATGCGAAAATTCATCATCCCATTGTTTACTACGGAAAAAGAATGTTTACAATGCGAAGGAAATATTTACTACATTTTTTTATTTTGTTTATGTAAACAAAGATTTGTTATTGTTTTATTAACTGGTTCAATTTTCAACAACCAAAACTTAAAAAAAATATTAACATAAATTGAAGGCAAAACCTAAATAAATTCTATGAGTTTTATAATGTTCCTAAACTGTAAGAAAGAAATATCCAATGTCCGACTTACTTTCTACTCATGTTACTGCTGGATGCAATATTCATGTTTTCCGTAGTAGTACTCAAAGTAACACATTTCTCGTCACATTGTTGCGTGCCTTTTACTCATCGGTCACGTCAAGGTCATCGAAGACACAAATTATTTACAATCTCTTCAGCGCAAACCGAGTATTCTGCCTAAACTAATTTATCGATTAGGAATAAATGTTTCGAGCCAACTGTCAGTACTAGAGTTGTCGCTGTAAATGATTATCAGAATGTTTTGCAGCCGCAAAAAATATTTGTAAAGTAGTCCCCCAAATTCCTGAAGGGGAGTTACCAACGGTTGCACAGTAGCCCTAATATTACTTTCTTTTATAAATTGACTGAAACAATTTTTTATTAGAATTAGAAATGCCAATTAAGTGTATTGACGAAAAAATTTGTCATTTATGTTGAACATTTGTATTTAAATAATTGAGTATACATGATTCTAAATTAATTTTTTTCGATTGCGAACAAACAAAATAGTAGGTTTTCATGCACAATGATGGAGGAAGGGGCATAAAACTTAACTCAAACGGTGTTCACCGTCTTTTTTGCACAAATTCTTCGTTCTTGATCAAGGTAATGTTATAATCAGTATAAACTGCCATAATATTTCACATTTAACGACTTGATACTTTGATAAATCTTTGATCGTAGACTATTAGGGAGTTGGGGTCGGGGTATTATACAACGATTGGCGAAATAAATTTATATCTTAGATTTATTATTTTATTATAATCAAATAATGCAATAAAAAATGCTTTAAATTCAATCTTTTGTAGCCCCCGAACTGCGTAGTATGAACTAAACTATTACTTGCCTCGTCTTGCAGTTCAAATATAGTGTTTGAATACATGCCAAACATGGCATTCACAAGTAGCTAACAGAACAATTGTACCCAAATTGGACTTGTCAAGATGTAGAAACTTAACATTGTTTTTAAATTTATACCTTGACTAGTCCAAATTAGATACTTGTTTTTGTTAACCACTTGAGAATGCCATATTTCAAACACTAAATTTGAACTACAAGACGAGGTACGTAATAGTTTAGTCTAAAAATCCTTGTTTTTAACGCTTATTTTTGAATATTTTATTGATTGGCTCGGGTACAGTATGGTTCAAATTGGTAGAATTTAGTATGACTGTAGGTGTCATAAAAAAAGAAACAAAAATATTTCATGATTTGAAATATGACGAACAGTGTAACCTAATATTTCGAGCCTGTGATCGGAGCTAACTGTTATACAACAATTCTTTTAACAAAAAATCTATACGTTGATAACTAATATATCTCTGAAAATACTATGTTCGGTAACTGATAAAAGTGCCTATCAAATTGTTATAACCTTCTAAAAAAGTTAATTGCATAGTTGAATCAAGAGTGTAGTAGATTTTACACAAGTTCTTTGTCCAACAAAGGGCTATTTTTGTGCAGACAAGTTATATTGCAACTTAGAAGGGCAGGACACATGTTAAGCTAAAGCTCTGGCTCCCTTCCAACCCAGTCTGGGGCTCCAATTTCGAAAATTGTGTTGCGAACTTTCTCATCAAACATACATTTATTTTAGCGAATTTCCCTATAGGGAAGTAGCTATTACCGTAGGTCTCATGGTAAGTCTTAGGCCCGGGACCGATTTACTTTTTCATTTTGATGTCCCCAGAGGCCAAAAACACCATTCGTTCAAATTTTTATATATGTATATATATATATATATATATATAGGTATATATATAGATTTATATATATATGTGTCCGTGAACACGATAACTTGAGTAATTTTTATCCGATTTTGATGAAATTTGGTTTGAAGGTGTAAGGCGGGATAAACTTGAATGAGTTCGCGATCCAGCATGATCGGACCATGGGAACAGGGTTTTATGGGGGGTTTTATGGGGTAAAAATTAGGTTTTCTCACTTTTGACCCTCAAAACACAAAATTTCCCAATTTTTCTCTAAACCTTCTTAAAGAGCTTAAAAAAACAAACAATTCAGTATATCAAAGTGTTTTTGTACGGTTATTGGTTACGGAGAAAACTAAAAAAATGGTAAATTTAAAATTTCCATGTTATTCTTATGGAGAATATTGTAAAATGTTGTAGTTTGCTTGTTTATGGATATATTTTGATCAAACTTGGCAAATTTTTTTATTTTATAGTAAGCTATCAATATTTTACTAAAAACACACTTAATTAGTTTCCTTGTAGCAGCAAACCTAGGTACTCGTTAAACCTAATGTTATTTAAATAGATCAATTGAAAATCAATTCAGCCAAATGGAAATTCGCTTAGACGGCAGGTTTGCTGCGGCGGGGGTATTTCTTTGTTTCATAAACTCTATATTGGAAGTTGGATTAATTTGTTATAGAGTTATGATGGGATTGGCTTGAGGTATTGTATAAAACAGTTTATGGTCATTTTTAGTTTTTATAAACTAAGATTTTTAACTAAAATGTTCACTGCGAGCTTGTGGTTTAGTTTTAACAAACTGTAAATTATAGAAACACGTTTTACAAGATGGATAAATTAGAGATTTAGAAGACAGAATTTCTGGATTCTAAATATTTACACTATTTACAATACTTTAGGCAAGATGGCAATAAAAAAGAAGGGTAAATAAAAATTAAAATAGGCTAAAATAAGCACAACATGAATTTAAAAAAAAATAATAATAATAACATTGGCCTTATGGGTTTGCCATGCTGGTGACGAAATAACAGCAAAATATAAACAGAAAATCAAAACAAGTGGAAGAAACCCCATGTTTTATTTACAGCGTGGGGTGAAAATAGAGAAGTTTGCATAATACAGTGGGCGAGCTCATTATAAATCTAAAATTGTAATTCATTAATAAAACATATTTAGAGATGATAGCGAATATCATGTGGAGTATAAATAACTCTATAAACGGACAGTATTTTTTGAAAATATACTAAAAAATATAAACTAGTAAAGTTAACTTAAACCTGCCTAAAGATACCCTTGCACTTTCCTAGCACAGGAGAATAGGTGTGCAATTGAGAAGCAGATTTTAATTTAAATACATATTTCTTAAATTGAAATTACAGTTGGCCTAATATAATTTACTTATTACTTCACAATACTCCAAAGCTGCTTGAGATATTATTCAACACTGTGATTTCGTAACTGGACGTAACTTGGGAAATTATACAGGGTTGGGCAAAAGCCTGGACTCCCCATATTAACTTTTTAATTGGGGCAGGACAGCCAAACTCACCACACCTTTTTGTTGATGGCTTGTCACTTGATGGGGCTTTACATTTAAAACTTTTGATCTGCCCCCAAAAACCCCTATTTTGGGGTTTCAGACAAAATTGGGATCCCAACAAAAAGTGTACTAATTTAGAGGTGTACTGAGTTTGGTTTTCTTAGTGAAACCTAAAAAGTTAATAGGTGTCCATACTTTTGCCCAATATTGGACGACCAACCCAATCTAAATTTAGTAAATTACAGTTATACAAATAGGAATCGCCCGAGATATCCAAAGGAAATCACAGGTGATCGATCAATGACGTTTAGAATACAAAACAGGCAGTACCTGTTGACGAGCGCGGCGGTGGTGCCCGGGCGATGACGTAGCAGGCGTGCGCGCGCATCATCGACCTATCTGGAGCCTCAGCAGGCAGAGTGGTGCTGATCGCGGATGTGGCCACGAGCTGCTGAGGTCGCTCACGGTGCTGACTCACGATGCGTGCCTCACGCTGAGCACGAACCCCGCACCTCTCTACTGGACAGGTATGAAGATGTAGGATACCTTAGGAGTCCTAGTGCAGGTATGGTGAAGTGTGAGTGTTATGAGGGGCAATGGTTCGATAGTGCGTGGGGTGGGTGTGTGGTGCGGATACCTGGTATCAGTGCAATTTTCAAGCTCTTTGAATAATGTATTGCGAAATATAGGTCTCAATACGATACTGGGACTGTTTCAGTATGATTCCAATGTATAATTCACGTGCCCTGATCAAATCACGTATACAGTTTATAGGTGTCGATATCTGGTACCAGTTTTTAATTTGTATTCTTGCAACTATTTACATGAGCTCTGATCAAATATTCTAATTCACTGGTGTTGCAACAAATTATAGGTCTCAGGTACCTGGTACCAGTTTATTTACAGTGCGTTCTTGCACTTTGCATGAGCTCTGATGAATTCTTTAATTTAATTTACTGGTATTGCAACACATTATAGGTCGCAGATACCTGGTACCAGTTTATTTACAATGTATTCTTGCACTTTACATGAGCTGTAATCAAATCTTTTATTTAACTTAATGGCATTGCAACACATAATAGGTCACAGATACCTGGTACCAGTTTATCTACAATGTATTCTTGCACTTTACAAGAGCTCTGATAAAATCTTTAATTTAATTTACTGGTATTGCAACAGATTATAGGTCGCAGATACCTGGTACCAGTTTATTTACAATGTTATCTTGCAATTTACATGAGCTCTGATCATATTTTTAATTGGATTTACTGGTATTTCAACAGATTATTGGTCACAGACACCTAGTACCAGTTTATGTACAATGTTTTCTTGCAATTTACATGAGCTCTGATCAAATCTTTTATTTAATTTACTGGCATTGCAACACATTATAGGTCTCAGACAATAGATATTATCAGTTTCTCATTCAACGATGTATTATTTCCCCCTTTACGTAACTAAAAAACATCATTGACATATTTTACTGATACTGCGAAACATTACAGGTCTTAATGAAATATGACCCCAATGTACGTAGCTTCAGCAGATACTGGTTGGTTAAGCCCCTGTTAACACTTAATATGCACGGACAGTAAACGTTAATGGATTAGAATGAATTCCATAAAAAAAACATCCCCTCTCAATTTTAAAACGTATTAGTTATGTAGATTACTTAAATGTAGTCTTCATTAAATTTCTTTTAGGCCTACTAATGTTTTTGCAGGAGATATACCCATAGCAATTAACCTTACTGGATTATTTATTCAAATCCAATTATTAAACAGAATAATAAAAAAATAAACTAAACCAGATTATAATAGGAATCTATGTCCAAAATATTATTCTTTGATCTTGATAGATTTATTATGTAATTGGAACTGGCAAACATTTTGTACACTGTGATTTATTTAGACAATTTGATTACTCTTGTTACTGTTGTTTTTGTTAAAATCAGTTGTAAACAGCCACCAATCAATGGTTGTAAACAATCGTATCATTCTGAGAAAGATTATAGCTGTTTATATAAACAAATCCAACCGAACATCCCATAATGGTTAATCTACATGACTTTACCTTACAGCCTACAATATTTTAGCTCGGGTTATGAATTTATGAATTTCTTCAGTGTTAACAGATCAATATTTTATACTCCAAAGATAACTTTTCTCAGCATTTTGAATTTAAGTATATGTATATTTAGTTGCTCAAATTTGAACATTAACATTATGTTTTTGTAATGCTCGCATATACTTTCTCATAAGCCTAGTCCATACATTATGCATTCATTCCCCTTTTCACGATCCTAATTTACAGAGTGTTTCCCATCTCTATCTCATAACCTTCAAAAATAATTTGGTATGGATGAAATTCATAAAAAATAACCACTTTTCTAAAGTAAACAAATATTATTCCCTATCCTCACATTCTCCGTTCATTGTAATCAGTCATCGAATATACCATACACCATAATCTTATGGCAATGTGTTTATCTTCAGATCCATGTCAACTTCTTAGGACTGACTTTATAATTTTGACCTAAACTAATAAAACTTTTTATCAAACACCATAAATACCATCAGATTTAGTCGGAAACCTTGGGAAATGTGGTAACCCCAGCCTCCAGTTATTCAGATTTTGATGATTAAATAAAAAAAATCATTTTTTCTTGCGGATGTTTTTTATGTGTTTGTAAATGGTGTACGATAACATTGAAAATGTCTAACTACCATATTTTGTTCAACACCCAGTTACATTTCAGCCTTTTCTCTAACCATAAAATCGTAATTACATCGAATTATGTATAAACTTCATCAACTCGATGTTGAGAATTAAATATAGACCGTCAGCTGTGCTGCGATTACCATGGGTTCTGACGCACACCGCTGGGAGCGCCTTGTAGTTACGGCTTTAGCACCACGTTAATACACGGCGCTCCCAGCGGTGTGCGCCATTACCTATGGTAACCATGGTAACCGCAGCACGGCTGACAGTCTATATTTAATTATTTTTGTCTATGGTAAAGGCAAGTAATGTACTATTGTAGTATCAATTAGGCCGCTATACAACTTTCTGATGACCTCCGGCTTGTTTAGGGTACTTCAAGTTTTAAAGTACTTTTTAATGATCTCCACATATCACGAAGTACGAGTGAGTACTTAGGGGGAGAGGGGGGATACAGGCAGGCTTTCAACAGAGCTTTCATCCTCTCGAAATCCACTTCCTATTCAAATTGTCATTCTATCCTTATCAAAACGGACACATTGTGAGAGTGTAAAATATATAGACTAAACCTGGTGCATAATTCCAGGATCTGATCCATGGGGTGTCTGTCTAAATTTACTACGGTACTGATTTTCAGAAACATTTTTATTAAGGACTAGAGCTCGCCCCGTGGTTGAAAACTCGACCAAAAGTGTGTCTTGTGCTAACTTCTCTATTTACACCCCACGCTGTAAACAAAACATGTGTGTTTTGATTTTCTGTTTAAATTTTGTTTTTATTTCGTCACCAACATGGCAACCCATAAGGCCCATGAAACATTTTTTTAAATTTTAAATTTACTTTTTGTGCTTATTTTTGAGTCTATTTTAATTCATAAAGGGATTTTGTATTGATATATATGTCGTAAGCTTAAGAATTTGGCCCTATCTTTTGTAAAATAATATACAGGGTGTCCCGGAACTCTCTACCAATATTTTAGGGCATTGCTCCTGGGTAAGAAACATACCTAAATATCATATTTAAATTATCCGGAAGTCCTTAGTTACTCACACAGCCGCCATTTTGTTTCTTTCAGTTATTAATTTTTTTCTAAAGAATGGTTAAACATACGAAATGAAAACTTTGCACAAACATTTATGACAACTAGACAAAGCTACCAAAACATAATTACGATTTTTAAAATTCATAAAACAAAATGGTGACCATTTAATTTTTTTGTAAAATTAACGGTTTTTGAGTTATTTAAGAAACAAAATTTTAAATGGCCGCCATTTTGTTTTATGAATTTGAAAAATCGTCGTAATTTTCTTGTAGCTTTGTCTAGTTGTCATAAATGTTTGTGCAAAGTTTCCATTTCGTATGTTTAACCATTCTTTAGAAAAAAATTAATAACTGAAAAAAACAAAATGGCGGCTGTGTGAGTAACTAAGGACTTCCGGACAGTTTAAATATGATATTTAGGTATGTTTCTTACCCAGGAGCAATGCCCTAAAATATTGGTAGAGAGTTCCGGGACACCCTGTATATAAGGCCCCAATCATCTCTATAAGAGAAGTTGAAATTTCATTTTTGACCCAATTAACATAAATATTCTCAAAATGCAAATAAAACCTGCACATATAGGACCGAAAATCGTTCTTTTGGTACAACCCGCGTGTAAATCTGTCCAGTAGTATGGTCAGGGTGGCTGTCGTCAGCTTAACAATTTGGCCCCATGTTAAATCTCTATAAGAAATGTCTAATTTAAATTTTTGACCCAACATAAATATAAAAAAAAAATACAAATAACACCTGCACATATAGGACTGATAACCTTTATTTTAGAAAACCCGCGAGTAATTCGGTCCAGTAATATGGTCAGGCTAGCTGTCATAAGTTTTGCAAACGTTTTTTTAATATATAAGATTACTATAGACCAACTCCCATTTTGATATGAACCTAGTAACCTAGTGCTCCCATGGATTTCTAGATGGGACTTTTGCAACTAATATTGATTTGTTTACATAACAGAAAACAACTCACAATTATTGATACATTGTATGGGTTTTAGCGAATTTTCCCATATATGGGAATAACCTATAGATAGGGAATAAGCTATTACCGTAGTACTCATGGTAAGACGTGGACCCGGGACCGATTTCGTTTTGAGGTCACTAGAGGCCAAAAACAATTATTAAATTTAATACTTTTATGTTACAATGACACAATAACTGTGTTATTGTACTGTGTGATGTTTTGAACTAAATCAACAACTGACCCTGCTAGTTGGTTTAAATGTATTTCTAATTTCGTACCTAAAGTCAATTGTACCAAATTTTATTTTAGTTTCCGCGAAACTCCAAGACCTCCGCAATCAGGTCGGAGGTAGGCATGCGATTGCACGATGAAGGTATCGAGCTGGCGGTGCCTGCCACAGAAGCATCTACGTCATCGAACCAACAGCCTTTGTAACTCACAATACTTTGTATCAACCATAATAGTCTACTTGTACTTCAAAATTATATAGCTTTGATATACAATTCCACCGGTTGGGTCGATTGCATTGTCGTAGCAAATAGTCGCCATCGATCTTAGCGATTGTTAAGATTTATGTAATCGGTTGGATTTAATTCTAGGCTATAACACACATATTGGTTTTCAACTATAAGGTTAGGTTGGGATAGGTTACCGTGGGTATTAGAACAGAAAACGGTATGGATCATAAATATAAACAAATGACGTTGCTAGTACTTAACATTTCTGAAATGCAATTGTTGAAATGTTAATGGTATTAGTAAAGGATTCGGGCCAGCAATGTCATTTGTTT